GTTTGAATTGAAGAACAAAATCTAGTTTTTAAGTGCAATAATTATACGTATTTGACTTATTTATAGTTATTTCAATTGAATTAAAACTAACTACTTATTAATAATGTTGTTCACAATATACATTTGATTAATATGAAGCCAAAATGTTACAATTCGTTTATGATAATTTTTCGCAGAAAATTTTAACTAATTGAAGAAAATTCATAAACTCGTAATGTTGAATAATTTTCAAAATGTACAAACAATCAACTCGTCATTATTTATAAATAAAAGTTAAGTAATTCAACAAATTTGGCTTACATAAATGGTATTAGGTTTCTAAATATGCGTTTCGAGGTCAATATATTTATTTAAGTGTAATACTTAATGTTTTGCTTAAAAAAATATATAGTCATGCATTTTAATAAATTAATTTAATAATAATATATTTAAGCGTAAAAATAAAAAATTTTGTTTTTAATATTAATATCAAGATGATAGGATCTTAAAGCGTTTAAGAAATATCTCCGTACCTTGTTCATATTTATGTTATGTGTATAATAAATAATAATAATTATCATACGGAATGACGTCGGTGCTGTGCGGTGCCTCATACGGGCATATGTTGTCACCCGTTACAAAATGTATAATATTAACGAACAACCCGGTGGTCGGTTATGATTGTCACATGTGTTCGTAGAATATGTTCCTTAAAAAGAATCGAGAAATAAAACGTCTTGGCAAAGAAATATATTTATTAAAATAATCAATCTCAATTTCAAAATATGTTTACACGCAATATCATATTATTTTATTAAAACATTAAATAGTTCACGAAGGATTTCACACGAGAATTATTTAACTATCATCGTCGTGTTCGGTACTTGGGTGTAACGTCATACATACCTTACCTATAATCGGATACCCATGCGATAACTTTACACAATTACATTAAGTATTGAATTGCTTAAAGTATTTAACTAATATCTCATCGTACAAGTACCACAGACCCGACTTTAAACCAATCGTATGGTTATAAGATTTAGTTTTACTCTTCGATCTATGGAAGAACTGTACATACCTTTCGCCCTTACAATAATGATTAGTTAATACCATTCACCCATATTTACATAAACGTATTATCAACTATTTTATTCTTTATTCTCGCATCACATTTATTTTAGAAAATACTTATATAACGTATGATTTATGATAAATTTACAAGACAAAATATATCAAATACTAAATAATACAATCACTAATCATTGTTCAGTTTATAGTAATTAATAATGTACATCCTATATATATATTACTTAATTTACATTTTTCAAAATATATACATAATACATATATATATATATTTTCTATTTATTACTCGTATCTATTAGAGGGGCCAACGCCTTTACTCAAATGATTTTTATTTAAAAAATATATATAACATGATAACATAATTTCATAGTCAATGAATGCTTTTGTTTAGAAATCAGTTATTATGTGTTATATACGTTACATAAAAACACACAAAGAGATTAACAGTTAACCGTTAGCTTATAATTTATTATAAATGAAGCTAATGATTCGTATAGTTAAGAGACAGAACATAATATTAGGGACATATGTTTCCTTCACGTTTATAGTTGTTATAAATATTGTATTAATTATCATAAGTTCTAGTCGCGGTCGTTCTCAATTATACTTAACGACCGTCAACAGAAAATGTGCGAAAACTGTTGCATTATTAATTTTCTTAGTACCTATTATTATTCCTAAAATAATCTGATTCATATTACTTTAATATAAATTTATGAATTCATCAACTACAGTCTACAACACTAAATAATACATAAATATACACTGACATTACTTGTCACGTTTAACATTCTAATATAAATAATTAATGTGTATGAGTGTATGATAGAATATGCAATAAATTATCATGTTTCATACTTTTTTTAGGATATAAAAATCTAAATATCGCTGTTAAATAAACTTTAATAAATCTATTATTTAAATTAATGTATTTATAATTTATATGTAGATTATGAAAGTAATTTATATGTCCATTTGACATTTTGATCTTTTCTAATCATTAATTTTTCACATTAAAAATCATCAAAAAATATATAGTCTCAAGTCTCTATAAAATAATCGATTTTTTTATCATAATTGTCTAAATTGTGTAATCGTTTTTAACAATTTAAAATGTATATAATTATAATCTTCACGTGCATCAACATTACTATTACACAAAAAATAATTGTAATTATACTTAAAAATTAATTTGTTCGAACGATAAGCTATTTTATTTATATAAAACGTCATATCGTATTTTTTGAAATTTTTAGTTGTAAAAAACTCATAGAAGTTTTCGTTTTAAAATTGAATGATAGATTATCTTTTAAAATTCATAAAATTATACTTAACACAAATAACATATTATATAAAATATATATTCGCAAGTACTTAATACTTTACTAACCACTATATTTGCAATTGCAAATAACTTAAAATATTGTTGCAAAGTTGGTAATGAATAAATACTAATATTGAATTTTTTAATATATTGATAAATAATTCTTGTTACCTACCTATATATATATATATATATATGTATATATATTATTATTATTATTTTATAAAAAATGGCCGTAACTCGTTTTTATTTTATTGTTTCAAATTAAATTATTAAAATACAATTTTAAATTTATTAAATCGATTAAACTATACACTTATGTACCTATATTATGTTTTTATTTAAGCCCAACGTTTAATATTATGTTATGAAAATGATTTTCTGACATATACGAGAACCTGAAGAACCACATCGAACGATTCATTTTGTACATTGCATGCTTGAGTAATAAATAGAGAGCAATTAACACTACAGACCTAGAGACGCATGTCGTTTTTATTTCCTTTGAACCGTAAATTTAAATTTAAACCATAATTTCTAGTACGACACGCACACGCTCGCGTAAGTTATGAAAACAATGACGACGATGTTTACATAGGCATAAAGAAATTTTGGGACATTTAACCAAAACAGAGGCTGTCGTGAACAAATTTATAAAATATAAATGCATTTAAAACCACGTTTGGTTTACGTTGTTCTCACATTTTATAGTAATTGTTTAATAAGTAATTTAGTTTATAATTTTATAATTTAGTAACATAATAATTAATATGAATTATAAATTTGTAGTAAAACTATACAAGTCAGTTTCAGCTTTATTGAGTAAAAATAGGTGTAAGGTATATTATTTTTTTAGACTTCGAAAGACCTAATCATCACATACGTGAATTACATTTTAAACAATAAACTCAAAAATACCCATATTTATAAGCATCTTAAATCTGTACAAACGTACAATTATAAATCATAACATAATACAATATATTTCGTGCTTCGAATGCTTTTAAGATAAATTCTAATTCGTAGATTCGCATAACGTGTAATAAATTGAAATTAGTGATTGTTCACTGGTCATTTTATCTACTTATAACTAGGAACTTATAATTAACTCGTATAGTAATTACTAATTATACATCCATCGCGACGATATATCGCATAATGATATAAGTGCCAAGTATTAACATCGAGCTTATAATCGAATAATAATAGTAGTATATAATATAAAATATAAGTGATTATAAATACATATATTATACAAGTACACAAAGTAATCCATTTAATTAACTGCACTCATTATTTCGAAAAATTTCAACGTTTTTAAATGACCACAGACATTATTAATTTCATATTTCTATTCATAATATCGCTCGGAGTATTTTGATAGCTTAAAATTCGAATTTCATAAAATTAGTTACTTAGTCATAGCATTGCTATTTAAATTTTTAAAGAGTGGTTTAGAGTGGCATAGGGATAGCTCGCAAAATGTTTATCCATTATTCGAAGTACTTTGAAAAATATTCTGTTTCGGAATATTAAATTAAAAATAAATGTTGATATTTAAAAAAAAAAATAAAAACTTAAATAATCATAACGATAAAAATGTGTAAATAATTTTACTTAAAAATGGCATGAAGTTATGTAAATATAATATTTTGAAATAACAAGAGTATAGACTTAATGAATTCTTTCTGAATATTATAAATATATGGTTAAGGTTTTTATAAATGATAGATTCTGTTGATCGTTTTGCAACATGATTACATGAATAAAATAAATATACCTATATTTCTTACAGAATAAATTAGTTGTGATTAACTAATTTAATAAAAATATTTTTTTTTATTAAAAACACAATTAAAATCTTTACAAGTTCGTATATTAATTAATTATAATGAAAGCTATACAAAAATAATAATAATATAATGATGAATTGGGGGGCACATAGTAGTTAAATGTTCATAAATTTATATTAAATTCATTCAATATAGTATGTATATTAAATTAACACATTTCTAATGAGAAGTTAATTGGTTATAAGTAGAATTCAAACAGCATTTTAAAAATAAAAAAGACCAATAAGGATAACGAAACGAAATAAAACATTGTTTATTATACTACATAGACACATACAGAATGAAAAAAGGTATGGTTAATCCTTCTTCGTATTGAAAGTCAAAACGATAAAAAACAAAAATTTAATACCCATAACATTTGAACTCTGGCTAAAAATGATCTTAAAGTTTAGATAAATAGCCGAGTAGTTGCACAACGTTTGCCAATCACCGCAAAAACGTAATAGAAACGTTGTAAATACTTACAAGAGTTATAATCGATATCATAATTATTATAACCCATACTAGTTCGAATTTCGATTTTTGTGTACTTCGCGTTTCTGTCCGAAGTATGAAATCGAGAACGCACGACATCGTTCAACATAGCGAAAGCTTGAAAAATAAATACGATAATATATTATTTTTTTTTTTTTTTCTTACAAAAAACGTTAAGACCTATCGAAATCACGAGTGTTGGTCGAAGACACGCTGTTACGATGCGGAGATCGTCCTCGCAGGAAAATATTAATAATTGTTGTTTTCGCGGTGTGTTTCAGCAGACGTGAGCTTGTGGAACAAGAACATGGGACAAAAGTGGCGAAAGATCCGGCGCCGGTGTTCGTCGTTCAACACGGGCACCGGCAAGGGCAAATCGGCCGGGACGGTGGACGGGCCGCTGCTGCCGCCGTCGCCGTCGTCGTCGGACGACTCGACCGCGTCGCTGTCGCCGCCGCCGACGACCGCCGCGGCCACGGTGCAAGACATGCTGCGCGCCCGACTGAACATGCTCAACATCGGCCACAAGCGGCGGCCGCCGCAACCGCAGCCGTCGCGCGGCGACAACGCGCGTCCGGACAGCCTGGCCTCGGACACGTCCACGTTTTACGTGCCGTCGCCGTTGCTGCGGTCGGACGGCCGCGCCGCCGCCGCCGACGTGCAGGACGCCGCTGGCCCGTGTTCGCTGCCCGTCGCGTTCGACCTGTCCGCCGACCACCGACTGCTCCAGCCGTCGTCGTTGTGCCGCGTCGCCGAGACGCCGTCGTCGTGCGGTTCGTCCGGCCGCGGGACCGCCGACGACGGCGCCGGCAGTGACCGGTCGTCCGTGTCCTACAGCGACCACGGTTACAACAGCATCGCCAGCACCGCGACGGCCACCGGATACGACGCCGATCGGTGAGTGTGATACAATATATAATATTATACAGTTTCTCTAGTTTCGATACGGTCTATCGATTGCGTAACGATAGTGTGCACGCATACCTTCAACGCTGCACGCATGCACATTTCCGACGAGACTATCGTTTTCGCCTTGCATCGGGTTCGGTGATAAATAATATTATTACGGTTCCGAATTTCCGATTCAAACTACGACACCCAACACCTACCCGACTCGCGTCATTCGATTTATCCGCGAAATACGTATTTAATTAATATTTATTTATAACTTATTTTTCTCACGCGACGACATCTATAATACAAACGTAGGTACCGATTATATACACCGTAAGTTGGTAGGCACATGTACACCTACCGCAGTATTGTAATTATTAAACTATTGAGGCGTTTTAATTATTTTTAACCTTTGCGTGCAAGCAAGGTAAAACAAATGTAAATATTTAAAAAAAAAAAATGCAATCATTATTTATTTATTGTTTGAGTATTCTGACTTTAAATATTATCTCCAAAAATATCGTGGGTTAATACTTCTTTTTTTTTTTTTTATCGACATTGTACACAATTATTTGTGCGCATTTCAAATTATAGTTTCATAAACGTTTTGATTGTTTGGTCCATTAAACATATAATCTAACAATATCCATGTCTTGATCGTATTACTATTATTATTTTTTTTTTTATTCAAAGCATCATAAAGTCTAATAATGTGTTTTCATCTAATTGTTGTGGACGAATAAGAGTCACTGACTGTGCAATGTGAGTGAACTTTGAGTGGCTATTACTAGAATGAAACAGGTTTATGATGATAACCACCGTATGATTCATACATAAATTATAAAACACTTTGAACAATTAAGCGTAAATGTATCCAGTATGTAAAGTAGAATAACATTTTTATAATTGTTACTATAAAATACTATTTAAGATCTAAAAATCAATAAACTTAGTTATAAATACTCTGAGAAAATTCGTTACAACTCAAACGGTGATTGTGTTTAAGACTATATAGCATATCATAGACAGAACTCCTAAAAATTCCTATTAGTATCTCCACGTGTAAAAAAAAATGTGCAATCAATAATTAAGTGTAAGCTTATAAAAAATAAAAATGTTACTTTAGACTCTCTCATACAAAACAAAATATAAAAATAATATTATAGGTTTTCCCGTGAATATTGTGCGTATGCATAATATTATTATGAAGAAAGTCTCCAACAAAATAATAAAATTTATATAGATATTATATACGAATATAATATAGGTAGTCAATTGCCATAGCTATAAATCTACACAACACGCGCACAAAATATTCTACTTATTTAAGTAATTGCATGGAGTCTCAAAAATATGAATGCATGAGCATCATAAAGATAAAAAAAAGAACACCTGGGGTAACCAACAAGTTAAAAAAATATATCCCGAGAATATTTTATACATATATACTACGTATGTCCTCTCCTCTTACTCAATCTCCTTACAACCAACCCTCCTCTTATTCTAATGTACCTCGCGGAGAAATGTCAAATATCAAAAAGCAGCACGATGAATTATGAATAGCGCGAATATCAATGCAGTCTTTCGCAATAAACGTCAAAAATAATATTTCATACAAACTGATCGAATCGGTAAGATGTTTATTTGTAAAAAATTAGTGATAAATAATGGTTTTGTCGTTATAACAGCATACTACAGTCACAGTTTGATTTTTTTTTTCTCTGTATAATTTCGAGTTTATCTTGATCAAAAGATTACGGCAGGGATAATAATGTTATGGGAAAGGCTAAAAGGGTACCCGTATAATGTAAAAAAGTCACATAAACGTTTCAAATAAACTATAATGATTACTAAATAGTGTATTCAATATTACAGTCTTATTGTAAATAAATTATTAATAAAAAAAACTATGGGTTACACAATATTAAATCCTACTAAGGATAGATATACTCGTCAAAACAAAAATATTAATGTCAGCAATTTTATTCTACTCGTTGGTACTTTATTCAATATTTTTAATTAACACACATTTTTTTTTTTTATTGTGTATTTTTTGCTCGTTAATAAATAATAATCATAATACTATTATAACGTATATTTTAACTGTACAAGCCAAACGAAAAAAAGTACTCATAAAATTGGGAAACGTGTATTAGATGGTATATAACATTATAATTAGGAAAAATAAAAAAAAAAATAAACAATTTTGTTCATAAGCTAAACTATAATAGTATGAAGATTTTTTTTATTCCTTATTTACACGCGAATTTTATAGCATGTACTTATAAAATAATAAAACTTGCCGCTATCGACATTTCAAATTTGATACATCAAAACTCTTAGATTTCGACATTCCGTTCGAGAACTCGTATTACGTTTTATTATTCACGTAACTGCAGTAATTAAGTACATATTTTGAATACGGTTTCCACAAACCTGTATAATTCCAAATTAGAAGGACCGCAATTTCCTCATGGTTGACGACGCTCTCTGATTGTATGGGATCCGTAAACGTTGTGCTCTGTAATAGATTCTTAGTATCATAACACAATATATACATATAACATAATAAACTATGGAATTATCTGAGTATGTGTGTGTGTTTTTAAGTACGCCCTAACATATTATGCGTATTTGTGGTCATGCGTTTGATCATAACTTATTCAATTACATCGTAATACGTACAAGGTCGTAATTGACCACGAGAAACAATAGAAATAATAGATTTTAAAATAATGATATTATATGCCCGCCGAGTGTCCGATGATCGATACGATCGAATAAAATGATTCCCAGCGCTAAACGCTAAACGTGACATCTGTTTTTCTTTCTCACGCGTTCTTTCGTCATATTTTAACGTCTTTCAACATAATAATTGTTTGAATTTTTTTTTAAAAATATCGTATTTGCCAAACCGATACTTCTGACCGTTTTACACACCCTAAATCAATCGTAACGACCGGAGATCGTGGATATCCCGTGGTTTTCTCTTTTATACTATGTATAATGATATGTACAAAAATCTTCTGGGTCAGCGGGGAATTATTTTTGTAATAAAGGTCGAGAAGTTTTTATGGTTTTATTTCTGCGAAAAACTCCTCGATTTTATTTTACCCCACTATAAACATCGACTACACGAGATGTTATCGGCGTCAGCCAACAGAGTAGGTACCCACATCACGTGTGCAGATGCCCGTTTTGTTAACAAGACATAAATTGATATGTTATATATTATGTGTTAGCAGCAAAATATCAAACATTCCTTTGTATATTGTTCGGCAAAATTGTCGGATAACAATAACGGGTCGCTAATTTTATTTTGGCCCGTGTTGAATAGTTTATATATATTTAATCACAGTTTGAGATACACTTTTATCGTTAAAACGACGTATCGATTTGAATAATAATTGCAATATCGAAAAGTAATGTACATGCCAAACGCGTTTACCCATATAATCATTTACGCGAGTGACTTATGCATCACGCCACAAAAACGCATCTACCTCCCCTCATCGCGATCTGCTCCCGCACAAAACGGTCGCCGTTGTAAGATTCGCGACATTAACTCGCATCGGTCATCACTTATCACAAAATTATTTTATTCGAAACGATGCGGTCTAGGGTCATGGCGTTCACACGTAGTCGGTTTTTCGTCAACGCCGCAATATCTGCACGTAGCCCCGACGTGTGTCGATAAACAATTACTGTAATATTTAAACGCGAACGTTTTACAACAGCTACCACCAACCTCTTCCACGTGTGCCCGTTTTAATGCACTATCATATTAATAACGATGCGTGCGAACTGTAATGACTGTTGCCTAAAATTATTTTTATCTAACTTGTACCGTCACGTGATCGTTTCCAGACACGGCTGCGGCAGACCACATTCGTTCGTCGTCAGACGGTCCACGAACAACGCACCGCGGCGACCAACGCGTTGCAGCGGCGACGACACCGACGACGGTTACAACGACGACGACGGCGGCGGCGCCAACGACGACGACGACGACGACGACGACTATTACAACTGCAGTCTACTGCTGCAGAACAAGCCTAAGATGCGGTCGTGCCGGCGGTGGTCACAGGCCGACTCGCTGGCGTTGGACACGGTGCCACTGACGGCCAAAGCGTTCAGAATCGGTGGCGCCGTATCGACGGCCGGGCACGGCGACGGCGGTCGCCCGCGCTTCGGCGGCCCGTCGTCGCTGCAGCAGGCCTACACGCCGCCGCTGCTGCAGCAACAGTTACCCTCTCTGCAGCAACAGTTACCGTCCTTGCAGCCGCGGTCGCCATACCCTGCACAGCAACAGTTACCGTCCCTACAGCAGCAGCAACTGTTGCCGTCCCGATCGTCTTCGCCGCCGCCGCTGCCACCGCCGCCACTGATGCACAAGCCACTGCCTCCGCTACCGCCGCCGCCACCGCCGCCACCGCCGCCGTCAGAGAGAACCGTCGCCGACCTTCCTGCCATACCGGAATCGTCGCAGTGGGACGAGCAGCGCGGACGCCTCCGCCGCCGGACGCCGGAACAGCAGCAAGCCGACAGGCTGGAAAGGAACGGTTCGACGAGGATCAGTGGCAGGAACCCGTATCGCACGTTCAACGGGAGGACCGCGTCACCGGCCGGCGCCACTACCCTCGGTTCCGGCGGCGGCAATGGCGTCGTCCCGGCGGGCCATTGTCAACGCGACAATCTTCAGGTAAGATTTGTTTCTCCGAAACGTCGTCTCACATCAGCTCGTCTTTTGAAAAACGTTTCGACGTGTATAAGGTGCCCACTGCAACAGTTAATACGTCTCTATAATATTTTATACTCCTGCACTGTAAACAACACGTTTTACATGTTATAGTCCCATACGATTTTCGGAAGGTTTTCGAGTCTCACTTGTCCACAAAGACATTATTAGTATCGCATTTTAAAAACCTGTTTTGACTCATTCAACACTTAAATAATCGAAGTTTCTCTTTTTTTTTCAAATATAAGAAATGGGAAGTCCACTGAAAATTCTAAAAGATTTTTATTAATCTGATTGTGACCCCGTCTCTAAGTCCGACCGCTCTTTTTATTTATAGGTATTCAATCGGTCGAAGGAACGTTGCGCATAAACTTTTAGTACATTTTTATACGTCCCTATTATTTACCACGCGCGCGTCATGTATTGTAGACATTATACAGAACGATCCACCGAGGAAACGTATGGTTAATATATACAATTATATTATATCGCACCTGTACATATAGTATTATCACTATACGTTTAAAGTCCTTTTTACGATACAGCAAATTCGCTCGTTTACGCACACAAAAATAGACGAATAAGGTGTTTTCTCTTTCTGTTTTCATGCGAACGAAATAAACGCAGCACGATATATTTTACACGTGACATGAAATTCACACGAAACCTCATCTAAGCCGTCTTCCCGGTCGTATAACAATACGACAACGCGACTATATAATATGTGACGACGGATGCGGTCGCGAACTGATTTTATAATTTATAGGTGGTATACATTCGTGTTGTTTTCAATGTATTATTATAACACTTTGTGTTCACTTGTGAACAGTTCAAGGTTTTTTTGGTACTTAGTTTTGAGTACAGAAAGTTACTCGATTTAAATAATTATACATATACATAGTATATGCACGGATATATATGAATATATTGAAAATTGATCATGATATTCTTTATGACAATAACAAAGTGTATAATACCTGTATGATAATATTGTTAGTTTTACGATCTATTAATAATGCTTATTTACGAATAATTTATGAGTTCGGAGTATATAACTTTTAGAAATCTGACGATCAATCGTTACTATAATCCTATTAAACAACAGAAACACATTATTTCATAAATTAATATAATTTTAAATAGGTTAAATATTCGTTTAAATGAGATACTTAAGGTACACAATGGTTTTTCATTTCAAATTATAGTTATATGTCATAAATATAAAATTAATGTTCATTAAATTATTTTGATGTATTTACAGTCATCAATTCTAATTTATTTGTTTATGGTTTTATTTCAATAAAAGAAAAAATGCATTCGACTAGTATTATAATACTAACAAAAATTTCTGAATGATAACTAAACTTGCTATTTGATTGATTTTTGTACAATTTGTTTAAGGATAATTAATAGACAATTAAGAAGTCTAATGTCCCCTTTAAATACGTTATCGACCCCTCTATAATATACTATTATTAAATGCAGAAGGTACCATTTTAATGATTAATAATTGGAGTATTCCATTCCAACACGATTGATACATATTTTTTAATGATAAGAACACTAAATGTAAAACTACTTACTAAGTGCAGTGTGTTAAAATGTTAAACCAATTATCTTTGATAGTAGGTAGTTATTACAGTACCTAAATATAATCATTTCACAGTTTCTTGGTACAAAATTAAGTAAATAATAACAATTTAACGATTTTAAATTTACTACACATTACTTTATTAATCAGCTTAGAATAAATTAAGAGAAAGAAAATTAAAAATTAAAATTATTAATAATTTTTAAAAGAAAATATTTGAAACACTATGACAACTAAAAAGTTTTTTTTTATCAATAAAGTTGACTAATTCTCTTTATTTAAAGCATCTTACTGTAGAATTTTGAAATGGATGATTTTTTCCATTTATCTATTTATACCATTTAAAATAATAATTCACATTAGTGATATATATAATATATTACTGTATAAAATGTATGTTATTATAGATTTTAAATTTATAAAAAACATTAAATAATAATGTAATATTTAATATTTAACACATAATAATTAAACATTATACCAATATTTGCAATTAAATCAATTATTTATTCTTCCTTTTAAGAATAAAAAGTTTTTAAAGTTTAAACTTAGGTAAAAAATTATTTTTATGTTACTATCCCCTTAAACATTAATTATTAGATTTTAATTTATTCTCGAAATAAATGAAGCATCTAAAATTCTTCTCTTATATTATCGTAAATTGTAGTTGTATGTAGCATAACAAATTATTATTCATATTAATTGTGTGTGAATTACATATATTAATAAAATAATAAAAGCATAATATTACAATATATTAAAATGCTTTTAGGTATTTAATAAAATATTTGTAAAAACTTTTGGATAACAACCAAACGGCTAGCATTGTCATAATTTATTTAGATTAGGTACATTTGATACGCATATTGTATCTAAATTATACATAATATATTTTAATACTCAGTAGTTAGTTTTATAGATATTATATTGAATTTAAATATTAATATTTGAACAAAAATGAAATATAATATACTAGTCACGTTTTCTTGTGGTTATTTTCTTACGTTTCGTTAGGTTATTGATATTCTTCGGCTATTCATAGTTATGAATTTATGATAAATATAATATTCACATTATAATTTATTTTTCATATTATGACAAATCGTGATTTCAATATTACTATGTGTGATCTAAATCGTTATCAACAGAAACGTGGCTTAAAAATATAAATGCATTGTTTGTATTATCGTATACCAAGTGTTGTTTATTCCAATAATAATCGATTTGTACCATTATATCCTATACAACTATTTTTCTGTACGTTAATTAAAATATTAATTGATTATTCGAAGTCAATTCAAATAATATCGATAAAATTAAAAACAAATTATCCATTTTATACATTTATTTTATCATATTATTAAATTATATAAATACTACTACATTTTTTTAACATGTAAAAATAGTGTTCAAAGTTATTTAAAATGTACCAATAACAATACTTAAAAAAACTCTTTCAAACTATACTTTTCACGTATAAATCCTTATAGAAACTAAAATAAACAACAAATTTTACACTTGTTATCTTTTGTATGCAAGATTAATTATCTCTTGACAACTTTGTATTGCATATTTGCATGACCCAAAATTTACGTAAATACAAAAATGTATTTATGTCGTATACCATTTTACATTTGGAAATTAAAAAAAAGAAATAATATATTTAAGTTGTAGTAGGTGTCAACATTTTAAAAAAAAAACTGATTTTTTTGTTTAATATTTATTGGTAAGACACCTAAATAGCTATATCATTTTACATATTCTCAATACTCATATAATACAAAATATAATCTTTTACACGGATAAAGAAAAACAATAATATATTTTTACATTTTAAAATGTTTGAAAGAGCAGTCGGAGTTTTGTATTCATTCGCTTTATAAAAATATATATATAATGAACCTTTCGCATAATTATTATGATAATCGTCTCCGATTTATATGATAATTTGTGTATTCATACTATACATGGTACTTATATGTATATCATCAGTTTAAAACATTTGTTTACATATCCTCAATAAATATGAAAGTAAAAAAAAATCGATTAATATTTCACTGCAGACACAAATTTAATATCCATTGTTCCTCACATGTTTAACACATCATGAATAATTTCCTCTCAACGAGTACAAGCCTGTATTGTCCTTTATTTGTATTATTCGTACAAACAACAAAATACCTATTAGTTATTATATTATATTGACGTAATATCATAAACAGTAATACAAAAATATTTACCATGGAAATATTGTACAAAGTATTTAAGTACACACTACTTTAATAAATAAATAAATAACGATAATATTTAAATATATCCACTAGAAACTTCCTCCGTAGAAAAAAACAAATGTGATTACTCACTCGTTCTTATTCGAGCAGGCACACATACAATTTATATTCCCAATGCTACAGACTGTCAGCATTGAGCATTATTATAATATAATGCATAGGTACAGCGTGCGACACATAAGGTGTAAGACACATTTTAATTCGACAAATAATTAGGTTAGCATTACTATACATATATGCGTAACAGTAGTAACTACAATAATAATAAATATACACCCACTGGATTCGTACATATAACCTTCGCGGTCCGCACGTCCTCGTTCGATCGCGTAATCCACTACTCCATATTGCCCATTGAAACGATTAAAAACACTTTTCAACACCTATAATATATTGCATGTGAATTGTCTACGTAATAATATGACTGCCTTGTGCCCGTGGTGTATTGTATATTACACTGTACAACACGATTTCCGTTTCCGGCGACGAAATCCGTAGCTAAAACGACATTCATTATAAACTAATGCAATACAGTATCGTTGTTTAAAAACATATTATATAATATACGACAATATATTATGTTGACGTAATTAAAAACACGCATGATGTCCACAGGGCGGAAAAAACGACAGCAATTGTTTCTACACGTTGCCGCGGGGCGGCGGTAAGGATGCGTGTTTCACAATAATGACGGTCAAGTTCCAAAAAGGCCCAGGCCATAAATGCTTGGGCTTTAGCATCGTAGGCGGCACGGATTCACCAAAAGGTACGATGGGCATCTACGTGAAAACTATATTTCCAAACGGACAAGCCGCCGATACAGAAACGTTGAAAGAAGGTAATATTATAATTTACAAATCACAATATGCCTGAAATTTATCAAACATTATTGATAGATCGAGTTAAATGTATGTATTAAACAATAGCGTCATTTAAAAAGGGAAAAATAGTCGCAGTCTCTAAAAAAAATGTCTAAATAACTTTAACTCTTGTTTAAACACTATTAGTATTATTATTATTATCTCTCATAAAATACAAAACAAGAAATTCATATGGAAGTCAAAAATTAATTCTAGTAGAATGTTACTGGCTGTCACACCAACAACCAGCCCGTCGAGTTACCTTTAAAATTAGTGCATCTTATAAATTCCTCCCCTCCCCACCAAAAAATAAAAATAATTATAATAATAAGACACCATTAATATCATATCCATTTAAACGGTGATTCAGTAGAATTTCGTGAAATATATTTATGAGACTCTCTTTGCATCTGTTCTTGCCGACGTAACACTGTTTGTACCTACTTATATAACACGTAAATACGTACTTATGTATGTTGGATGCTTTGAAACGAATAAATTATAATATTGATGTAAGAACGAGCACGCGATAAAGGAAAACGAAAACCCATCTCCAATTATTACCTCCATATATACACATATAATATTATATCAGATCAAATACATATATTAGTTCAGTACGGTCAAGGTAAGCAATATATTATATAGGTAGGTACAAGTGTGTGCAACTACTTCTATATACATCGTCCACCAACCTCGAAGATATGGGCTAGGCGCTCGCAAAACTTTGCCGTCCAACCCACCTCGGGATTATAATATAGTAAATATATGTATATGTGCGATATTGCTATATAATACCTACCTACTTACCACCTACCTACTGTTATCAAAGCAAATATCATTTTAATCGTAAAACTTTATCTAAAGTTTTATTTTTATGATAATTCATCAGAATTCTTCGCCATTGGCTTGGCTGCAGGATTCGCGAGGTATATAGGTACTGTAAATAGCGTGTATGTCGGTTCAGTATATTATCTATACGCTGCTCCTAAAATTGCAATTTCAAGGACTGATATAAAATCGCAAACATACGCACACGTACACTCATAATATTACCTGACACATACTATATAGTATATAGGTATTATGCAGTGTCAATTTTCGAGTTTTTTATGAGTACTATATTACTATCTACCAACATTAAACGATCAAACAATTATTAACTGTAAAATAAAACTGTCGGAAGGATAAAACGCTACACTGAGTATTATATGTGTATAAGGCTCATATTTGTTTTGTTTGGTATTCATTTCATACTACTTGAGGCGAAAAAAAAGCTTTATTCTTCATACGTTGACTACGACATTTCATCAAACACAATTACGCCGTGTATCTATAATATTATATTTTATATAGTATTGCTATATAGCTTATTTATTTTTACAATATGCTTTTGAGATCTCGAGCTTTTATGATTATTAAGTATAAGAAAAAAATACGTATACCTTTCGGAGATATTAAGGCACATGTTTACTTTTAATTACATCATTTTTTTTTCAAACGCATTTTATCAAATATAATATATCTGATACATCAGGAAAGGTGCATTTCTGTCAACATAGACATCGCATATTAATATATTATATTCGATACACTGAACATAAAATGCGGTACCTATTCCTATTACACCTTTACAATATTACAGCGATATTTTATATAGTAATTATAAAACCGGTAATATCGTAATTTTTTTCCATCAGTGCTCGTATAAAATAACTTTTATTACTCGATAGCAATACACAAAGCGAGTGTATCCATCCGCTATGCGGTATTTTTATATTAAAATGTTGTGTACGTCAGAGATAAATCTATCGATTGACATATTGATATAAGCGCGAAAACCCCTATAAACCGTATCCCGTTAAATGGTAATAAAATTTGAACATTATATTACGAAATAGGCACAAGATCTTACAACTAAAGCTGATCTTACATTATCGGGTAATTTTCTGTTTTCGAATGATACAATGTACTAAGTTAAATTGTAAATAGCTCGTTGACGTCCGTGGACAGCGTTCAAGCTATATAATATATGTTTCTAAATTCATTATTACGTATATATTAAATAAGTACTTCTGCATGAGTCTTTCCAATGGCACATACCTCGATGACATGTAAAGACAGCTGCAAATAATATAAATAAATAAATAGTCTCTATATAAAATTATATAAAACGATGGTACAATATGCATAATAGAATAAGGGCAAAGGGCGCCTTGTGATATATATACACAATATATATAATAAAGTCAGGTGCAGTGGATAATATATAAAATGATTGAAACGTCATATAATCGTATCCATGAATGGATTATATAGGTACAGAATATCTAGATATGAACATATTAACCTATACAATGATGTATCAGTATGTTCACCCAAATTATATTTGGGTGTTAATGCTTAAAGTATGCGCTTGATTGTTATATTTTCAAATATTTAGATTTTTAATCTATTTATGGATATTCTATGGTAATGACAATTTGTCTTTTTAATGAGTATAGTCCATTTTAAAACTTAATTATTAGCCAGACGATTTTAATAAAGATATTATTAACAAGTACAAATTATAATTCAAAGGAGTTATTAAACTTTATGTATTAATAGTCCGTGATTGATTTAAATAAAAATTCCAGACCTTGATGTTTGAACATTTTAATAATAATAATATTAATATACTATTTTATAATTTATAAAAATGACTGAGTCTTATATATTTATAACTACTATAGTAAACATACCTATTTTATTTTACGTGGCAGTAGAACAATCATTTTAAAGATTATAGTTATATCATCCTTATTATAATACATGACATTTTTTAACTAAGAAATTATTCGTTCAAATGTCGATACGCATGCATCAATATTTTCCAAAAAACCTATGTCAAAAAAAAAAAAAAAAAAATTAAAGAAAAAAAGCAATTTTTATTTAAAAAAAAAAAAATAGCATCACCAAAAAACGCTCCTAATATGGTATGAAAAATCAAAGTATCTGAAAATATGTTTTAAACCTACTTTTAAATTACAAAAGTAAAAATTTTAACAAATTCCGGTTTACTGGAGGTTTCGAAGAAGTGAGATTTATTTATAAATCACTCTGTATAGTGTATAATATGAATTATGAACACGGACATCGCCCATTTGTGACAAAAAAAAGGGGTATTTTCTTTAAATTTGTTTTGGAGACAACCCATTTGCGCCAAATTTACATGGTATAATTAATTATAATAAAGTAATATATTTTTTCTTCGAATAATAATCAATACAATTTTATTTAAATTATATAGTCAATTGTACGAATTTTTTTTAAAATAATAACCAATAAATAATAATACAAATTATTTTAAACAATAGGTCATAAATAGTTAGTAAGTATAAATTATTTTTTTTGGCGCAAATGAGTAACTTCCATAAATACACTGCGATACGTATATAATTAATAAACTAAATATTCTATTATATTTATTGAAGTACAGTATTTACGGATTAATTAGGTTGCTATTTTACCGAAATTATGAATCTCTTCATCGCATATACAATAGCTTGATTTATTCGTACGGTTTGAAGAAGAGAGATATGTTAAAAACAAGATAAAAAATTCATATTATATCAATGACGACCAATGTATAGTAAATTCAAACAGAAGTGAATAAGGGACGGAACACACTGCGGTAACCGATGAAAAATTCATAATAAACCAATATCGAAAAAATGAAAAAACTATAGTGTTCAACCGCTTGAACTATAAATCCATTGGAGAATTTTGGTGAAACTAGAAAGCCTTCTGAATTTGGTAGAATTATAAAATAATAATGACATTAAACCAAGCAAATGGTGCGTCAACATTACTGAAGAATAACTACTGAGGAAGCGAATATAATACAATAATAATATATATGGGTATTAATGCTTTGTATTGTATAATATAAATAACGTATAAAAGTAGTAGATCAAATTACATCTTCAGATCGCATAAAATAGGTAATTACTTATAGTACTATATACTATTATGTAGTACCATAGTCCATAAGCGATTGCATTACTACATGATATTACATTATTATTATAAATATATATATATCTTAAGAATAAGATACTGGCGGCCGCATGCCTTTTTTAACTGGCCAGATCTACATTGCCAAATTACTTAATATTTATCTATATTTTATCACGTTTTTATTAAATCGAATTGATTTTTTTTTCTTTGCTTTCTGCACACTTTGGCCCACTAGATTTTTGAGTCCTAAATAAATTGGCCGGCCTTCTAGTGAAGGTTTTTGAGTCTTTGAGTTGCCCATCCCTGTTTTATCTAAACGCGCACCTGTTTATAACGTAATACAATATATTATAGGCACTGTGCCGCCGTGAAAACGACAATGCTACAATAAATATAATCATAATAAAATAATATATTATATTAATATATAACACGCGTGCATCGGGTTCATTGCGCTGGCTGTACGTCCGGTGCGTCCAGAAAACCGTACATTATGAATCATCCGTCGTCGCATATTTTATAGGTATAAGCGCAGAGTATAATATCATATAGGTTGCAGGCAGCCGACAGGTCACAGGTATTGTACTAATGTAGGTACTATACATATTGTTATACATTACACATATGATGTATTGTATACGTATATGCATGTGCATACAACGTTGAATGTATATTTTGTATATAGGTAGGAAGAACGGACACACACCGCACACGCGACCGCCGCAGCACCGTATAATCTATATTATAATATACACACAACAATACGATATGCGCACATAAATAATTCATACGGTCACACGCGCGCGTTTTTTCCTCATAATTATAATACATGATAATGATATTGTATACGTAAGTTCGTGATAGGACTGTGCTGCAGCGTTAAAACGTCGAAACACGTACCCGTTATTATTAGGTACTATGTATAAACAGTAAATACAATAATATAATATAAACTACAAAAGGGGTCGGTCATTCGCAGCGATTTCCCGTTTTCCGGTGTTAGTTTAAAAACGAGCAAACGGGATATAACACGGGGTGGTCCTTGTCGTGTGATATTAATAGATAAATGTCCGTGTACCGCGTATAGGTGTACACGGCGCTCCCCGGAAATATGTGTGCTCGTGTGCGCGATACCAATATTAGCCGCCGTTGGAATTACGAAAAAAAAATTAATATATATGATATAGGCCTATCCATCTGGTAAAGATACAACGTAGCGTTATAAGCACTGATTAATGATTTCCTTAACATCGTCGTCGCCAACCCCATATACTCATCGGCTCCTGTTCAATAATATTATGTTCCATATAAGTTCGATAAACAGCGGGTTGAGTGTAGGCCGCTTAGATACCTAACATACGACGTATTTTACTCGTTTAACTATGAGTGGACGAAACGTTTTGAAATAAAAAATTATTGTCTCAAGCTTACCCAAAACTAGATAAAAACTCAAACGGGGTTTTTTCCCTTTCAAACGATTTAGGTACGAAACGCTCTCCCCTGTCGCATCTATAGCCACTATTGTACAATTTTCAAGTAGAACGTGCATATTATATTATATTAGCTATCCCGATGCACTTCGTTGCTCGTACAAAGTGCATCCGTGTTAAAAATTTGGTTGCCAATGTAAACATTTAGCGTAACGCATGTGATAAATAATATTTTTGGTTTTTTGATGTTGGTGTATAGATGATATTTCCGAAATGCCAACTTTACATAGCTCTTTCGCTCAGCGTTACTTTTTATTGATATAATTTAACAGCAGCATTTTTTTTTATTTTAACAACCTATTTTTTATTACTTTTTTATTTTAAAATAAAAACTCATAAAGTTTCAATAGTTTAAACAACCAAAAACAACAAAAACGTTTTGTACTGTTATATTACATCAACTATTCACTAAAGTACTAATTTCCTATAATAACTAATAAATGGTAACACAATAAAAAAAAATTTTAATGTACGTACTTATGAATTATTTAAAATATAATAATTCGATTTTTCATTAACTTAAAGAATCAAAAATTAAATTAAAACCTGCTTCACGATATACTCTTTCATAAAAAAATCAAAATAATCTATACGTGACAAAGATTCCCATTTTTCACATTTATATATACACAAATTATCATAATTCTTTACGAAGGGTCTCTAAATCGAATATTTTATTGTCGTCTGAAAAGCGACAACAGCTCTTACTGCTCCCACAACGCGTTTATTACTGCCGACGTTTTTTCCGCGAATCGGTTAAACGAAAATGTGAAAAATATTATTAACGTTGTGGTAATAATATTATATAATACGTTTTCTCGCCCTTGACAAACCCTATACAGCATAGTAAATTGTAATATACCACCACCAGCATATTATGATAATTATTTTAAATTGCATACATCGAATAAAACCCGTACGTAAGTATGCATACTGAATTATTGAAATAGATGATAGTTGTTATTTTTCATAAATTCATCCGGCCAAATCCTCCTCTTCTGATTAACTCTTAAGTTACGCAACCGTGATCTCCGCGTTAAAATATCGTCATTCGTCGCCAGGCACGTGACATGCGATTCGACCGACGATTTATTTCCGATCGTTCTGAAAACCGGATGCGTACCTATATGTGCACATATGTATAATATACATAATAATAGTATGGCCACAAATAACAGTATCGTGCATTAATGAATAATTATGCATATACGGTGCGCAATGTTAATTAAAATCGCAAACTGCTACTGCTGACTTGCGATCGCAAAATTTATAGGACAAATTAGGAGGCGCAGGACACGATGAATTACTACGATATTATAATATTATAATATTATATAGGTATACGAGTACTCGATCGATCGTGTAATCCGTCGGCGGGTCCCTGAACATTATTTGTAATTCGATCGGTCTAATCCACACTCGTTAAATTAACTACCCGTGCGCAGGTATGATATAATAATAATAACGATTATAGCATAGAACGTTGAAACTATGCGCAATTCACGCATTATGTACGCCCGGTAAATTGCAGTTATGCATCCGAGTCGTCGTGGTACAATGTAGATAACAATAATAATATAGAGGGACCGACACAGGATAAATCGGTCGTAATGGGATTGCAATTTTGAAGAAGGGCTTCGGCGTTTTCCGTCCAATTTCGGAGCAATTTTACAAGACCAAATTTTGAACAGAGATCGTTATAAAACAAACATGGATGCATTAAAATTCGTTATTATCCGCTTTTGCCGGGCAATAATATATAAATTTCGTTCAATTTTATTTTAAATTTGTCTTATAAAAACGTGTATTTTTTATCTAATTAAAATTGTATATTTTAAAAGTTTTGTATATCTAATATCATATGAGTACGTCGAAATTCGTCAATATGTATTTCGATTAAACAAATGAAACCTATAATCGAAAATTCAAACGTCTTGAGCATCAGTGTTTAAAAACATTGTATTATACACTCATAATAAAAAAAATTATGCAAATCTTTCTAAGAATTAGTTTCAAATCTATAGTCTGGCCATTTCTAGAGTAAAAAATAGATATGTAAATGTAAACACTATACAATATTATTATATCATGCATTGGTATATATTAAAATTATAAAACTGTTTTTGTTATGCCTTAGGTGACGAAATTCTGGCGGTCAACAACAAGCCATTGCACGGGTTAAGTCATCGCGAAGCAATAGCTGTGTTCAAAGAGATCAAATTGGGAGAAATGGCCTTACACATCGGTAGGAGGGTTCCGAAAAGAACTCGGGAATCGGTCAAGTCGATGCGAAGTCCTTGAAAAGTAAGCACATTGTTTATTGTTTAGATTATAAAAAACATTACCGATGTACGATGTATTTAAATAATCATATTGATTGGTACTTAAACATTTTTTTTTTATAATTTCAGGAAGAATATTCATCGAGATTCTCATTTCAACGGATGGTGTTATTATTACTAATGTTTATTATCATTATGTTTTGTACCTATACCTATATTTTTATTCTGAGTTATATACAATGTTTCATCGTTTAACTAACTATTATAAATTTCTTATTTTTACATACTATACAGGGTTGGCAACCGCGATTTCTCGTTTTTCAAAACTTATAAGTCCATAATGTATACTATATGTGCCTATTGTATTTATTTGAAAAAAGAGCAAATAACGGAAAACCATTCTATGTATATAATATGTCATTACTGTGTGTCTGTATACATATAAATGTAATAACTGTTACCAGAGTGTAAATAAATTATTCATAAAAATTTGATATTGAGTCAATATAATTTATTTTTGAAACGACAAGACAGTGAACATAAGCTGCAAAAATAAATTTAATGTACCTACTATACAATAGTACATGCTGAAATAATGAAATATTTAAAACACTGTAATCAGGTTCTACACGACAAATCGGCCTCGAACTACTGCAAAATTATCATTCTTCGACAATCCCCGTAACATAATTTTAGTCATTTTATGATTTATGGCGTCTCCGCGTCAATAATCAACAAAGTATTAAAATATACCGATTAGACATTGTTTAGTTCCTTGTTGTTTACAAATTGTCTATACTAATTCTCAATATTACAATACAACATTTATTTTAAATAAGTACATTTTATTGGCCTAATAAATTATAGTCATAGCACATAGGCGGAAGTTAAATGAATTAGCTATAACATCTAAATAGGTAGATATGAAAGCTAAAATAATTTTTAAAAAAAATCGTTTTTACCTTTAAAAAAATTATGAGAATTTCATAAGGTAACGTTGTTGTTATTACAAAAATACTTTGGGTCTAATTTTGTTAAGTTTTTGTTTAACCTGTCCGATGCTTTAATAATTACACCGACTCGAAGGAGCAGCATAAATGTTTTACAATTTTAAACCGTTCTAGATACCTATAATAATACTATTGTAATATGATAGTGTACGGAATGTTAAAATAAAATATTATATTATACCGTCAACTGCAGAATTCACAATGAAAGTGTAAAATTGTGAAAACGTGTAATCCCCGCGTGTTTGACATTTTTATACTACTCTTCATTCCACCAGGCCCAGATTAAGAGGAAGCAAGAGGACACGTCCCCAGAGCCCTGCAAGCATTTTAAGGGCCCAAAGATTTATTGACTTAAAATTATTTAGTAGTTTTTTGTACAAAAGTAATACATTTTAACACAAACTACTGTAGACTACCTACTGTCTACTTTTCAAAATAATTTTTTTACAGAAATGTATGTATTAGAAAACTTGAACTTTGAACAGACGTTAAACGAATTTTCTTCGAAAAAAGTAAGAAAAAAACTTTCGCAAAAAAGAAAGCTTAATTTTATTTGCCCATTTATTTATTATAAAAATAAACAGTATTTATATAATTTTTAATTATTTTTGTTGTATTATTATATTATAATACAAAATGATTTAACTATAATTTACTTCACATTTTTAGTGAAATAATACAGTATATTAGGTATAGTGTATTATACTATGATAATACATACAACTAATTGAACTAATATTCTTTGATTTAAAATTTTAGTATTTTTCTTTATAATGATTGTAACGTATAACGTATAAATGTATAACATCATCAATTAAATTGACATATGTATGCTTAAGCAGTGGTAATATTATATCAGAATAATAAGTTATATGCGCATCAGCGCATCAAAATAGCAATGATAAGTACATTTTATAATATCCATTCAATTACAGATAAGAAAAGAAAACATTTATTTTTTTAATCAATGGGGATCTACAATCAATTTTTGTTCCCTGAGCCCCTCCTTAATATGAGCTTGCTCTCTGATTTTTATCCATACGATTTTATCATTTCAAGAATAGTATTAAGTTTGAATCTCAAAATGCTGCTCTATGGGTACATGGTCGGTAATTAGTAAACACAATATACATTTGAATATTTGATGTTACGTTTTTCCCCTAATAGGTCGTATAAGAATTTATTATTTAAAAACATTTTTATTTTAAGTAGAAATGCGATCAAATTTTGACAACTGACAAGTACTCCTTATTATATAATACGCGTATGTAGTATGTACAGACGTATTGTACGTGCATAAGAAGCTTTGATGATTGGGTATGTATGTAAACAGTATTTATTATTATTTGGAAATTTTTTAGATTTAAATAATATGATATTTATTATACTTTAAAACTTTTCTTTCGAACATTTCTTGAAAACCAAAATTCTATTAAACGCAGATTTTATACACAAAATATACAATTTCAGTCAAAAATTAAAATTGATTTTGGCGCATATTTTAAAGTCTAAACCAAGTAATGAATAACTCGACTACCTATTGGTTTAATACATTTTTTTTTTATTTCACGTGATGTAGAGATGTCACTTTAGGAGGAATAGAAATGCTTAAATCTTAAACTTTTAAATGGGTATATGATAGGCGATAATAAATCGACTCTAGAATCAAAAATAAAAATGTCTAAGTGTTTAAAAAAAAAAAAATAATAAAGACTTGAGTATTTTTACACCAAATGGGAAATATTTATATCATGGTATTTTCTAGACTTTGTATAATTTTCAAAATATATTGGCTGTTATTGTGTTATAACAATAGACATTTAAACTTTTTTGTTCAATTCATATAATGATAATACCATAATTTTTTTTTTTTTTTTTATTCTTTGAAACAAAAAGTATTTAAAATTTATTACAAAGCTCCTAGTTCTTCATAAATTGTTTTTATAGCAATTATAATAATATAGTGATTCAAAGTTCAAATGTTGACAAAATTATAAGCATCAAATTAGGTCTATATTTAAACTATAATTTTAAATTGTATTATCTATTGCTTGAAAACTTAATACTATACTGGCCATCTTTATAAGATATACTCGAAACCCATTCACAGCGTGACTTTCCTCTTTTACCTATTAAAGTATTAATCAGATTTCAAAGTCTATACTTATCATATGTATAATGCGATACAATATTAATCATAAATGGAGATATTTGAGATTTTAAACACTATTTAGGGCTTCTGAATTATTTTAAACATTCTTTCACATTAAAATGATTACCATTTATAAACATTAGACTTCTGGAAGTTTACATATCTTTTTGTAATTATTGAAAACATAACCAATTATTAAGTTAATGTATTTCATAACAATACGAGTTTACAATTAATATTTTTTAAATTTGATCAAATATGTAAAATGTAACATATTTTGCATATTTGGCTATTTTTTATACAAAAATGTGTTTCCTAATTATTTTATAAATAAAAACCTTATTTGAAATATATTTTCTAAACTTAAGATACTAGTTTGACGGTTTTCTTTATTTATATTGCAGAATATAAAAGTATCTTAAAAGTATTTATAAAACTATAAAAATTAGTGTTTATATTTTCCTTGCTGGTCACCCATATTATTAGTTAGTTAAAATAACTAGTTACAAGTTTTTTTTTTTTTAATATAATTAAAAATTATAATGTATATATATTTTGATTATTTTAAGGTCATGAAGTCCCTAGTTCTATTTATGAATGTATAAATACAACAATAGTTTTTTATTGTACAGTATAAAACTTTAACTCAGAACAGTAAAACCTTAAGAGGACGCCATAATCACATATTTTGCTTTGACTTACATACAACAAAGAAAATGTACATTCAGTAGAACCCATTATGTGTAATTACTTGTTATTTTTAATATTAAATTTATCATATCAAAGTTAAAGATTAGAATATTATCAGTATTATAGCATAGGATTTTTACGATATTTTAATGAGTAAGTATGTAAAATATTTAAAATTTAAAATGTTTATATTATTTAGCTTAAAAATTAAAATATCATAAAAAAAAAATCAAACATTATATGACTAATATTTTAACTATTAACATTGATGAAAGACAAATTCACCCTGTTATTAAAATTAACAACACATATGGGTTTGACTCAACAGAAATTTGCTGTTTATGTATTTAAGATGAGAGCAACATATGAGAGTGTAGTATCCTCTCAATAAGTATACTAATATTGAAATATTATAACAAATTAACTAAATAAAATTATTTTAAAATAGAATAAACACTCAACATATATAGTTTTTTGTTAGTCAACAAACGTATTAACTTATAATATGACATACACATTCATAACAATAATGAACACCAAATACTTATTAAAACTAAGTACACTATTTGTATTTTGTCATACAACTCTTCAACACTAAAGTTTTTAACCTAAATATTTTTTTTAGACAATATTAATATTAGAAACAGCCATAAGTACATATTTAACTTTTAAAACAATATATTCCTTATCTACATCAAAAATCTACGATTCATTACAAGTAAACCTACATTTTGCTAAGAGATTAAATAAATCTAAAAACTAATAAGGAATAAAAAAATAGTGTATTTTATAAATTTTCAGTTAAAAAACAATTTATTAAAGTAAAAGTTCATAAAAATCTAATATTATTTTGAGGACAAATTCAAACAAATTTAATATAAGGTAAATTTATATATTAAATAGTCATTTATTGACACCTATTTTAAATTATTATAAAAAAAATTAATTTAACACCAAACAAATTTATGTTATTTATAAACAAATTTAGAACAGAATTATTATTTAATAAACATGAAAAATGTACCTACTAAAAAATAAAAATTGTAGCTTTTTACATCAAATTGTTGGCAATATGTAATACAGGTATAAATAATAATTAATGAAAAATATATATTAAGAGATCGTGTATTTTCAATATGAAAAGTTGATAAATTTGTTTTGTAGATACACAGAAATTTTAGAGTGAATTTTATAATGGTTTTAACAAAAATATTAATTCTAATTAATTATAGGAAATATGATCTGGATATTTTTATAAATGAATACATACAAAAAAACATTTATATATTAAATCAAATCAAACTATAAAATCCTTAATTTTAATTGTACAAAGGTTTTTATTTTATTAATTTTAATCTTTAGACACTTTTTCACGTTTTTGTTTCAATATTAATTCATACTTGCTCTTGCTAATCCACCACAATATGAATGGTACCAGTAAAGTTGGTAAGGACATTACTGCAAATGCAAACCAATCAAGCTAAAACAATAAAAACAAATACAAATTATGTAACATAAACATAATATAATATTATGCTAGGAATATTTTAATTAAATTATTATTCGAATTGACAAAAATGCAGTTAAAAAGAAAAACATTTTCAAATTCTATCATCTCAAAGAAATATAACATATAATTGTTTTAATAAACTATAGTTCTGAACTTAATCCTTACTTATAACTGATGCATTTTAAATTGAAATGTAATGTCATCAACATTTTTATGTAATAATTAAAAATACTCATATTTTTCAGTAAACAAAAAAAAATGAACACCATAATATATTTACCAAGTGAGGTGAGAATTTCTTGTCATATTCAGCATAACTGATTATGTATCCTTCACCAGGTTCGCTACTTATTGCAAATTGTGGCTCTTCAGCACCTTCTGATGATTTATATTGTACCACTGCAGCTGTGAAGTTAAACCGGCCATATGTAAGAGGTTTGATAACAACAGCATGAGTAACATTTGCGCCAGATGGAATTCTGTTAAAACGAATATTCAAATTTCCTTTGACTGTGGCAAATGCTTCATCAGGAAATCCTGAATCTTGTAATATAACATTTGTAGCTGGTACATTTCCCACATTATAAATGGTATACTACATACAAATTAATTGAAATTAATTAAATTTTTTTTTAAACTATACAAAAGTGAAAAATAAAATATTTTAGATGTACATACTTTAACTAGGATATCAGAATCTTGAACTAACAATTTATTAAGAACTTGTTTAGATACTAATAGTCGGGCCTGTTGATTGTCTGCATTTTGGCAGAATACGCTTAAAGATGTGCAAATTAATGCTACAACTACAAATGACTTTAATGAATACATCCTGCAAATAAAAACATTAATCATTAATTTTTATAATAATTTTTTTTTTTTAATATCAAAGTATCCAAAACTGTAGAATAAATTTAAAAAAAAAATTAAACACCTAACTTAACACTATAATACAATCAAGTTTTTAAATGATAATATATCATTATACTCAATAATAAAATAATGTTAAGATTCATGTAACTCATCAATTTGTTTTAAAGATAGCTTCTGTATAATTATTTTTGTTATGTTATTATATAAACAATATACACATCAATTTACATACTTGTAAGATTTGATTTAGTACATAATTTTGCACACATAAACTGTATAATTAGATAGTAAGATAAGAGGATTAGAAGGCTAATTTTTAATAAATTTAAAAAAAATATATACACAAAATTATTTTTTTGTTAATGGAATTCAGATGTGTATTTCAATATAATTAAAACAAAGCTACAGAGTATATCAAACTTATATAAATAACTTAAATCTATTTGATAGAATATTATATTTTTGATCATCATTAAGTATAATATTTAGATAAATTATACAATAAATTTATAACAATTTTAGACAAAGCATTAGAAAAAAGTTGAAGCATAGAGTTAGGTGACTGAAGAAAAGTTCAAATATATTTAATCACCATTAATGTAAGTAAATTATAGCTAAAGGTTGATTACAAACTTATAGGTAATAATAAGCGGTCAAGAAAACAATAAACAAAATATAATATAAGAAAAATCTGTACCTACTAACATATTACTCATTTTGTCATCTTGAAATAATCAAATTAAATTAATAATACTGTAGAGTAAACTAGGTAATCATTATTGTATTTTAACCTATTATTATATTTAAATTTAAATACAAGCAATTTCAAAAAATAATATCAAGGTAAAAATAAAATAGTCAAAAACCGAAAAGGTTTCACTCTGGAATAGTTTCACACTTTCCGGTAAAATTTAGAATTTCTTCGCATATTTTTTTGTACATCCAAGAATCGCCCTTAAGTCGCTTTCGTTTAATGGCAACAAGTGGCACATTTTCTTTGTTCATAGAAGGAACCAAACATATTTCTAATTCAAAAGATAATTTCAATTTTTCTTTATCAGCTATATCACTTTTTAATTTTCCTCTAAGCACAAACCCTTTTCTTGAACAAATAACATTTCTCATTGCCAAAACTTTTTCCAATTGATTCATTACCTTTTCAGGATCCTTACAAACCGTAGTTGATATATTACATAAATCTTTTTTGATGTTCAATATTTCAGGTTGTTTTTGAGTTGGAGTAGAAATACGGCGTCTAGGAGTCAATGCTTTTCGGACACGGTCTAATCCTGAAATTATTTTACCAGCAGGACTACTAAGATTTGACGAACATGGTTGTTGTACTTGAGGAGTATCAGCATTAATATTTCTTTTGATTTTAGCAGGTATAGTAGGTGTCACTTCATCAATTTTTCTTCGAATAGCACGTCCAACTACTCTTCTGTTTTCTTGGCTTGGAGTATGTAGAGCGACTGGTCTTTTTATAATAAGTTCTGGTTGTTGATTGGATACTTCTTTTTTCTTCAAAACTACCGGAGCACCATATTTTTTTTTATTTAATAACAACAAATAAGTTGCAGTTTCACTGTCATATTTCCACTTAGAAATACGGGACCAAATAATTTCTTTATCAATTTCACAATATTGACTAATTACTTCAAGACATTCCATGTCTTTACACCGATCAACATTATGATTTTTTGTGGATGGTGGACAACCAAATCCTAGGCTAATCCATGGATCATTAATTAACTCACTAATACGTATACGCTTTAATGGGTCCACACAAAGCATACGTCTTAACAAACGTTTACTACCCGACGATAGCCAACCAGGTTCTATGTATTTTCCTCTTAATATTTTCTTGAAAAGTTCATCAATATTGTCACTTTCAAATGGTAAACATCCACACAACAATGCATATAATATTACACCCATACTCCAAATATCAACTTCTGAACCGTGGTACTTGACTCCTTGAATGAGTTCAGGTGCAGCATAAGTAGGTGATCCACAAGAGGTCAACAACAAGCTATCCATGCCACCTTGTGGTTTAGCACACAGACCAAAATCGATTATTTTCAAATTCTGTTCCCTATCCAGGAGCACATTCTCTGGCTTGAGGTCACGGTGCGCATAACCATTATCATGCAAATATGATACAGCTGATATGATTTGTCTAAAGAACATACGTGACTCCATTTCGCTAAGGCGGCTTTTCTCAACAATGTGATCGAACAATTCACCACCAGAACAGTACTCCATGACAACATAACAGTGAGACTCGGTCTCAATCACCTGATAAAGCTTGCAAATATTGGGATGTGACAGGCTCTTAAGCGCGCTGATTTCCAGCTTGACGCGCGGCAGGTCTTTACCCAGCTTAGTCTTGTCCATGATCTTGATGGCTACCTTTTCACCTGTCAAAGTGTGCGTAGCCAGTTTGACTTTACCAAAGCCGCCAGTACCGATTGTCCGGTCCAGCTCGTAGCCGCAACTGCGTAACGTCGGGTATCTCGACATGACACCCGCGTGTCAGATAGATAACCCGTGAACAACGTACTTACTACAAATACACCTACAAACATGCGCTTTTCGCGTCAAATCATTCGCGACACGGATACAAACTCGACAACGACAACCAAAAATAAAACAACTAGCGGCAAAACGGCGGTTAGGCAAGCAAAAACGATACGGGGGGTAGTACCAAACACTATTTTGGGTGGTTAATACGAGAATAAAACGACGACTTACCTATGATGTTGTTATAGTATACGTTAAGTATTGTATGTAATATCGTATATCAAAATACGTGCGAGCGGAATTAAACAGAATATGGAACGAGTTCAAGACTCATTGGCAGTCGTGAATGTGAATTTGAGTGTGAAGCGACTAAAGTGTTAACGACGCGTGGCCGTATCGGGAACGACGGAATGACGGATTTTTGCTTTCGTTGCCTAACCGCTTTGTTGTTAACTTTTCAAACCGTTCACGTCACCGGACCGCGGACACGTAAACAAAAATGTCCGTTATGACATTGTGGCGGTAGTGGCGGTAGCATCGGCGACGGCGGCCACATGATAAGCGATAACGACACGTACTCTGTGCGTATGCGATAAATGGGAATCGTCCGTCGTTTTCGACGTAAAATTTCACGTCCACTGACTATTTTTGCAAGTTTCACTAGACAGTCGGTCGGAAACGATTTTGTAAAATTTAAATTGTAGATTTTCATTTTTCAGCGAATACACCAGCCGCTATTATCGTTCATCAGTACAACGACCACGGATAGATAGCACTGGCGCATCATCTGCGTTGGTTTGAAATCCGAATTATGAATGCATCACCGTGAACGCCATAAACATTACGACTGAGCTTGACTACGGTCTACAACTACATTTGCGTGCATGTACGTTCGGTGGCCTCTTCCGGACGAAACGGAAATAATAAACTAGCAAACTTTTTAACAACCTGATGTATTTTATTATACAAACTCTATTGAGAAAATCCGGTACCGGGATACCACGAGTGACCTGTGAATGCTAAATAATAATACCTATCTGATACATAGTGCAGTGTTGTCTATGGTTTCATACACGTCTTGTCTTAACCCGCTGTTGTTCACAGCACGTAATCCTCAAAAGCTGATGATGTGTGACTCGTACAAAACAATAGGTGATGAGATTCGTCAATGACTGTTGAAAATAGGGTAAAACTCTTACTGTAACCATTTTTTCCTGGGCCTCTAAAAAGTTTCAGATGGATTTATGTGTTAATAAAATAATACATTTAATTATGATAAATTAGCGTTACCCATTAAGGTCTATCATGGCTAAAATCATTTTATTTGTAAAATGTCAATAATATAATTTCATTTTGTTTATATATTTTGTAATTATATTAACAGGCTACGTTATAAGTTATCTTAAATAATAATGCCTATACCAAAGGGGAAATATAATGATATCTTTTTTGCAACTTACAATATGTTATGAACCGTAGTGGCGCGGTAAAATTATTAGAATTTAATATTTATACTTCAATCAGAGTACGCGCAAAAATACTATGATACACAAAATATACTCATCCGTAAATATATTAATTAGTTGTGGTTGCTAATTTCTATAACCATCGCGCAAGTACTATATAACTACCTATACAAGGTACACGTCATATAGCATTAAAACATTTAAAACATCACTAATTTATATTAATAATATTTTAAATAAATAGATATTAAAATATATGAAAGTTTAATTTTTATATTAAATCAAATCTATTAAGAAAGAAAACTTTATTATTGAAATAATATAATGTTTGATAATATTAACTATTTTTTTTTTTTTTTTTTTATAAATATTTATTTATCTATATTAATCTAATGATATATTAAAATATATCATCATGGCTTAAATTTAATTGTATATAGTTATTAGATAAGATTTAACCTTGACAAATTAATTATACTATATTTTATAATATTTAATTAGACAACATTTAGATTTAAGAAATGTCACAAAATTATCAAGACATATGTAAATACTCCAATTATCCACAACACACAAACGTTCAAGAGATGCCGCAATCTATACTTTAATTACGAACAAAGGCGGCATTTCAAAACATCTTCTATTATTAAAACCCAAATGACGCTCGGTCATCTGCTCAGTCACATACTTAGTATCAGTACCCACCATAATTGTCAAATCTCTAATATCTCTATTAACTTCCATTTGTATTGTTTTTTAATCATTAAAAATATCGTCACTGATATTTTATTCAAACCTGAAAACTATTCAATCTAATTCAAATACACAGATCCCGGTATACCAATTGCACAAAAGGTAAGGTAACATATTTATTAAACTCATATCTCAAGTCTCCTCATAAATATATGTATGAACATAAAAAAAATCTCTTGTATTCATCCCCGCATTATAATATTGTTTTAATCAGTTATACAATATGTTCAAGTTTAAGTAATAAGTGAAATATAATCAAATTAAACATAACAATAACTTCATAATTCATATAACAACTACTAAAACCTTATTCTTAAAGTAAATGACCATTAATTTTAACCCGTTTCATAAGCATATTTTTATTTCATTTCATATAAAAAAAATTAAATATATCATTATCAGTTTAGTCTATAGATATATCTATTTAAACAATAAAATGTGTAAGCAGGAAACAATATATTTTGACAAACGAAAACATAATAATATTACTTGTCAGTTAATAATTAATATTAATAATACCTACCTATTTAATTAATGTATTGATGTAATTTAAGTAATTACATATTAAACTATATTATATAACATCTGATTTACAAATCTCTTTATATTTTGAACATCGTTCTTGCTTATATGAAAATTACACTAAACATGGTCTTAAACGCAGATGTTTTTAAAATTCATCATTGCTGATAAGTGATAACCTATTTTATTAAACGAATAAAGTACCTTTATAAATTATTATTTTGATTTATCCTGTTATGTAACCGTTTAATTTTAATAATTATTATAATTAATAATCGACTACATTATTTTAACTATATGAAGATTACAACATTCTTATATTTACCCACAATAAAAGTTTAGATAACCTATTATAATATTATATATTGAATATTTTCCTTGTAACTGAATATCTCATAATTTCAGTGACATTATATTATAATATCGGCGAGCTATCAAATGTTGAAATATATCAATAAGTTTTTTGGGGACTTTTTTTCGAGATTTCTCTCCTCTCATACAACATTGTAATATGCATAATATGATATTGTATCAGTGAAATTTTCGCAATTTATTTGGAATGCGAGAACTTCGACGAGGACGGTTTGAAATAAGGAGGACGCGCGCGAGATCTAAGCAAACGACAAACATGATTGTCGGTTACTCGTCTGATCCAGCGTGCAAAGAAAGTGCGCGCGAGATTTAAATCGTTTTTGTAATTTTGTGTACGAAATCACGTCGTACATGGTATGTTTACAACTATACAAAGACTTGTCGTGGGCTTAAATACGAACACGATACATGTATAGGTATATCCAGTTCGTATATACTAATCTGCTATATATACCGTACAATATAGGTTAACGTATACACTTATATACATTATAATAACAATATATTACGCTTATATATGTATAATGTACAAAATAATATATATATAAATGTATACGCGACACTCGCGACTTGTTTTATGCCAAAATCACGTTCGCATATTATGTTGGTCGTGATATATTTCGTTTATGCTTCTACGCCGTATATTATTGTGTATAGGTACATATTACATACTATATAGTATATACAAATATGAAACTAGATATTTCCAAAAAAAATCGTAATATCATTTGTCAACGTCTTTCAAAACTCAAACTTAGTTCTAAAATAAAACGAGATTCGTTTTAAATAAATAACATATTACTGAAATCAATTTATATTAATGCGTCGAATATGCAATTTATGTAAAGAGAATTATAATTAGTAATATATTTTTTTTTTTTTTTTAATGTATGATAGTTTTTAGAACGCTGAGATTTGCGTTATTCAAATTATATTGTTTATATTATACCGAACATATAAGTTCCCGACAACTGATATAATCGTTAAGTCAAGTGGATGCAAACAAGACCAAATGAAATGATCCTTTTGTGCCGCTGCGTATGCATGAATATGTATTATATAAACACCATAAATCTTTACCAGAGGCAGAGCCGGAGAGAGAAAGAGAGAAAAGGATAGACTCAATGCTTATAGATAGCAATATGCATATGTTGGTGTATGAGAATAAGTATTGAAATTAGAAAAAATTATATGATATAATGCAATTTTTTTATACATGAAGAATTATTTTTTCAATAAAAACGATTGTTTATGATTTATTTGTATTATGTTATATGTTGTAGTATCGTACTAACTTATATTATCTAAATTTGTAACGAAAATTATTTGTCCAGACTAATTGTAAACTATTTACTTACGTATTGTAAAATTCCCACACACTAATATTGCATATTTGCATCTAATTAAAACGTATAAAATTATTATTTATTTTAAATAAAAATAATCGTAATTCCTATTACTCTGTTATTATTTTGAATTCCTAATTTTTTTTTTAGTATTCTTTCTGTATTTACAAACATTTTTTATATAATCAGTCATACAATATTACAATTTAATATTTATCATAGTAATGAGTAGATAATAGGTATAATATATTGTGTTAATTTTCGTCAAAATTTAGACTTACTAAATATAATATTAAGTAATATTTGTTTGATAATTTATTTTTAATTATAGGTATTTTAACATACTTAGGTATATTTACTTATCATGTACAGTTTATTATTATACAATTTTCATCTATTTTAATTATAAAAAAGATTAACTTGTAAGAAGTTGAAAATAGCATTATTAGCATTAAATGTTTAAATGCTCAAAGTAAGCTCAACTTTATTACTAAAATTTACGTATGGAAAATTTATTAAGCACTAAAATAATATTTGTGATTATTTGTAGTTAAATAAATTGATTACACAGATCAAAAAATTACGAAGTATAAATTAAAGAATAATATTTATATAACCTACTTTATCCCATAAATAATTACCAATAACTAGGTAAATAATACAATTAATATATGCTGATCCCTAGTCTAAATAGAAAATTAAGTTTATTATTCGTTTGTTTCTTTTTTTTTGTCTTTTTTTTTTATAAAAGTAGAAATATATATACCTAATATAAAATAAGCATATTATACAATATATTAAATTAAAGGTCATAAGATTTAAGAATTTATTTTGGTTAATGTTAATTGATTAGGTATATAGGGTTAAAATTGTATCTATATAGATAATATTGTAAATTTGTAAACAACCATTAGTTGGGACTTATAAAAAACAATGCAGCTAACTAAATTTATTTATGTTTTTGTTATTGTAAACCTAGACCAACCAGACGAAATTATTCGAAAAAACATTAAAGAGAGTTTAGTTGGCG